TATTTAGTAAATTTTTTTTCCGTAAGAGCAAATGAATAAGGACGCATACTATATGTTTTAATAAAAGAGAAACAGAGTCCAGTAGTTTGCGACGCCACCATCGAAAGATGACCAACTACAGTATGGAGAGTCTTATTATGTGACTGAACAGAAAGTATAGATATTCCCTCTGGTGGCGTAAGGGGATAAACCTTGGGCCTGTGGCGGAGAGGATACCGGGTTCGATTCCTCGGTGATACAGAATTATTTTTTCGGTGAACTAAACTTCTTTTTCATTTGAGTGATCGAAATTTACGATGTTGCATCGTATAAATTATAATGTTTGAGTTCTGGTCCGGCACTACAATGTTTTATACTAAAAATTACGATGTTACCATCGTAATTTTTCATAGGATTTTTCTCCGTGTAGGTGGTTTTTTTTTAGATAATTTTTCTACTTAAACTGTACTAAAAGAGAAATGTGTGCTCATAAACAAATTTTATTAAAAAATAAGTAAATATCACACTAATTTAGTTAAAAGAAAGTCAGTGTTAGTACCTAGCAACTTTAATCAAGGAGACATTGTATTAAAATATTTTTATCATGTATGAAATTGAGAAGTGATTTGAATGGTTTGTTTTGAAGTTATTTTTTGCGGCTTTATTATGTATCCAAATGTGTATTTTTCAGTAGCAAACAAATTTCTTCGGAAAAAAAAAAAATTAGAAAAACGGTTGACCCTCAGAATTGAAAAGTATGTTACCTGTGTCGCGCAAAGTATATCCATGGTGTATTCAATTTCTTGTTCTAAATCAGTGCAGTCCAACAACCCCTTGAGTACAACCTGTCCGATCAAATCGTGACGGGAAAAACGATCGAAGTCGTATACGGAAAACTGTAGATATCTGTCGCGCAATTCTTCATAAGATACGCTGGAAAATATTTAAATTTTGAATTTAAGATTCATTGGAAATAAAATTTGTAAGTTTCTTACCTGAAGATAAAAGTTTCATTGAAAATAGGGTTTAAGTTTTTGCGATGAACTTTTGTTTGGAACTTTCGCTTTCTTTCTGGTAAAAGATAGATTTTTACGTAAGGGTCGCTGCTTCCTGTGACATCTTTTATGGGCAATCCACGAGCTTGCAAAACCTGGAAACAAAATTATTGTTGAGGTCTTTACTTCAAATCTATAAACTTTAAAAACTTGAAAAAAAATTTTTTTTATACTTTCAAAATTTACATACTTAAGATTTTCGAAAATTTCAATCATTTCGGTATTTTTTTTTTTTTAATGTATATTATTTTTCTCGCTAAAGTATTTTTTTAAGCGCATTTTGATTAAAATTGTTTTTTACTTGAAATTTGGTTTAAGTTGTATTTTTCCCTATAAGGTAAAAGCCCCAATCGATGATCATGTACTAGTATATGATCACTCCATGTATTTGTACATCTATATTCACAAATATAGGTAGGGGAGGGTGGGGTAAGATGGCCCCCTGGGGCATAACGGCCCCCCTTCAAAATTTGGTCGAAAAATAATTTTTTTTTTTTTTTACCAAATTATCATAAATTTGATATATTTATATATTTTGGAGCTAATATAGGAGAACCTGGGGCACAACGGCCCCCCTCAAAAATTAGGTTAAAATTTTTTTTTTACTTTCCGTCAAGTTATGACCTCTATAATATTTTTATAATATTTTGGGCCAATATGTGATATATGGGGCATAATGGGTCACTTGAGAAACAAATTAAAACGAAAAAAAAATTTTATTTTTTCGAATTGAGATAAATTTGGGGTAAATTGAATTAGAAAAAATTTAATTGACCCGAAAAATTTAACAAATAATTGAACTATACAGGGGAATGGTATATAACGGCTCGCTGGGGCATAACAGCCCCTCTCATAAATTCGGTAAAATTTTTTTATTCCATTTTCAAAAATAGTAGATTTTACCCCTAGGGGGGAAAAGTAAGATATAGCTCAGATCACATGTTACACAGTAAAAAATATTGTGTATTTGTGTCGAAAACGGTTTGTGTTAAAAATTGCAGTGTGTTAAAATAACACAAAGCTTGTGTCATTTTATTTTGTAACATAAAAAATGTGTTATATACTCTTTATTAACATATTTTGTATGTTACTGGGGAATAAACACAAAGTTTGTGTCAAATTCTCCATTAATATAACATCAACTTTGTGTTGACAGCCCGTCGATTCTTCACTTTACGCAGCAAACATTTTCACGAAAATATAATAAATATTAAATAATAAAGACAATTAAATTAATATGACACTTAAGCTAGTAGACGTCTAAAAATTTTTAATTTTTTTTATTAAATAAATTACAACTAAAAAGATATTTATAAAAAATTGCACTTCTAGTTTTTAAAGTTTTTTAGATGTGACATTTTTTTTCCATTTAATTGTTAAATTGAAATTTTTTCAATAAAAAATTTCTAAAAGTTTTAAAATGTCGGTTAACTTCATTTTCATAAATTTATAACTCTGCTGCTTCACTTTTAAAACCTATAAATTATTTTTTGATTTAATTATTAAAAATTTTTCATACTTTCTTCCTTCCAATTATTTATAGCCGGTAATTGTTGATGTTTCGTTAAAATGTAAATGATAAAAAAAAAAAACATTTTTAAATAAATATTATTTACTGCAGTTGAGAAAATAAAAAAAAATTATTTTATAGATTATGTTATAGGCATCAAACAGTTGATGAAAATAAATAAATTTATTTAACATTTATTTTGTGTTAAGATTGACACTGTAGAAGTGTATGATTCTCTGCGCCCTCTTGTGGCGATATTTCAACATAATCTTTGTGTTAAAAAGGGGTTACACAAAATTTGTGTTGAAATTTCAACACATATTTTGTGTCAACCATTTTTAACACACAAACTGTGTTGATTTTACACAATATTTTTTACTGTGTATATAGTCAACCGAGGCGAAACCGAGGACTTTCTTCAAGGACGTCTTACTCTACGCGATTTATATTTTTAATTTTGAATTGATAAAAATATAGAAAAAAAAGTTTGGAAAATCCAAAAGTGCACGCCTCATAATCTCAAGTTTTAAAATAAAATTGATTAAAATAAAATATAGAAAGCAAAATAATAAAAAACAGAAAACACTGCTATGGTTTAGTGGCGCCATAACTCCAAGGTGAGGAAAAAAAATACTATAATAAAATGTATAGATAGAAATACAAATAAATCCACAGACATACATTAGTTTTTTATAAATAATAATTTGACAACAGTAAATTGAACGCTCATATTAACTAAGAAATTCTGTCGTGTGTTACTTTAGATAATTAAAAAAAATTATTCCGGTACAATCATTTTTTCGACCAATTTCCCTGCCACATACACTCATTCATACACGGACGTCCAAAAAAAATTATGTTTAATGTTATTATTTATTATGTTAATCAAAAAAATTGTTATTAAAATATATATTATGTGCCTGAAAAATTATTTGACTTGACATAAGTGTACTCATTTTAACCTGTAAGTGCAATATAAATAACAAAAAATCAATTTCAGTTTCGACAAAACTGCTTTTTTCGAAATATCGAGAGTAGAGCACAACCTCAACGCTTCGCTTATGAGGCGTGCAAAAAGGTCTGGTTCAAGATATTACGTATTTTAAAAGCTCAATCTGAAAACTCAACATGTGATTTCAATCAATTAATCAATTAATCAATTATCAAATGTAAACTATAATGTAACCAATTCATTGCTAAATAACATCTCTGTATTTTTTTTCTTGTACGTAGGCTTGAAACCTTTAAGTGCAATAAAAGGAATTAATTATATTATTAATTATTATCTACTTAAAATTAATTAACAGCTTAACAATAAAATTTATAATAATTTTTTTATTAAACATTGACAAAAATTAAACTTTTGGAATAAAACATGAAACATAAATGTTCGATAATTAGGAAATCACATCGAGATAATTGAATGAATATACGATTATTCGCAATGATCACAGACATATTCGTCAGTGTAATCTTTGCTAATACCTGCGCTAGAATTATTAGACCATTTATTACAATTTTTACACTGAATCCATGACTCTGTGGATTCTGAGTAAAGTTAATTGCAATAAAGACAATGACAATCATCTTTTTTATATTTGGAATGGTTTATTTTTTTTTTTTTCAAATTTTTTGGTTTTAATTTAATTTTTTTTTGTTTAACTGAGGACTTTTTTTTTCCTTCATTTTGATTTTCTTTTTCTTTGAGTTCTCGGGGATACTGAAGACTCGTAAAAATCGTGGTTTTCCTTCGACGACGTTTTCTGGGAGAAGAATCTCTAGATTTGGTGTTAATGGCTTCAGTAAAAAAAAAATAATTTTTTTTATGCTTTTTTAGGGAGGGGGCCGTTGTGCCCCAGGAAAAGAAAAATTTTTTTTTCGATTTTTGGCAAAATTTCGACTGATTCATTCGAAATAGACGGAAAATAGAGGAATTTGATGGTTAAAAACTACAAAAAGGAAAAACCGGCTTAAGGGGGCCGCTCTGCCCCACCCTCCCCTATACAAATACATGGAGTGATCATATACTGGTACATGATCATCTATTGGGACTTTTACCTTAGCGCTTATAAGAATTAACTCAAAATTTTGATTTTTATTAATTTAAAAAAATCCCACACAGTAATCAAAAATTAGCAAAAAATCGACTTCTTTCAAATATTTGCTTTTTCGTTTAAAATTACTAGAATAGCTAAAATTATGTTAAATAGACCGGCTGCCCAATTTTAAAACACAGTAACTGCAAAATTTTTATACCTGATTTTGTTTAGTATTGCTGAATTTCTTATGACTTTTAGACTTTAATTTCAAGTATTTTTTCTTAAAAATATTTATATCTATGTATTTTCTATTCATAAATTAAATTTTTTATCAATTTGACGCGTAAACTTTTTTTTAATATAAGAAAAATTTTAAAAAATCTTAAAATTGTTAGTTACTGTGTTTTGAAATTGGGCAGCCGAGACCATGTTAGTTCTTTTTTTACCCTTCACTTCACCTTTTTCAATTTTATTGTATATGCACGTAAAATATGATTGAAAAATGTTAAAGAAATGGATTGAAAAAATTTTTTTTTTTTTCGTATCTCGAGACTAGAGTGCCCTCTTACAAAATTGAAAAGTTGAGAAAACGAAAAAGTTTATTTAACGAAATTGGGCTAAGGTTATAAAGCGCTCAATTATTTCGCGAATTGCTGTGTAATGGACGGTTAGAACGTTTAACCAAATTTTGTTTTTACACTCAGTAACAAGCAAATAAACAGATTAGAAACAGAATATTTATTCTAGATTCTTGATATCAGTCGGATAATCAATGTTCGACAGGTTGAAAATTAACACCTATAACCGTTATTATTTGCGGGATATTCACTGTCAATATTTGAAGTATCTCAGCTGAGTGGCGTTTATCGAATCTGTAATGAATCTAGAACACCGGGAATATAATTTAATGCATCAATATGTTAAACTAGTTTACGAACGTCCAACGTCAAAAGGTAACGCAAACAAAGGAGCCAACACTCTGTATATAAGACTTTATGTTTACGCTTCATTGATACACAAATTAATTTTATATCTCTCAGTCCTCCATGATATTGTTATAAATTTAATATCTTTTTAGTTTAGATTTAAGAAAAATACTTTTTAAGTGAAAGTAATAAGTTTTCGCAATTAAATTTAACGAATTTTAATAACTTAGAAGGCCGAAAAAAGCTATTTTGAATCATTTTTTCTATAGAGGCTTTTTAATTAATAATTATGAAAATGGATATACATATAAAAGCGACCTTTAGTTTTATTGATAACTTCTTTTTGTAAATAATTTTAATCTTAAATTGTTTATAAAAATTTAAAATACTTATTGGAATTATTAATCCTTG